TAAAAATACAAATTGGAAAGTGATTATTTCAGTATATTTAAAACAATTTTAAAAGAAAGAAACAGTACAAATGTGGCTTTTTACATATGTTGACAGTAGACAGTAAGTTCACTTGTATTGTCAATATCACAGTTTTTTATGTATGTAGTACATATGTATATTTTTTCATATTTATCGTAGTAGCATCAATTATAGTCATTTCACTTCACAGATTAAGCCACGTGCCTAGAACGATAAATCTTTGATAAGACTAAACAATATATAACTCGCAAATTATAAACAGACTTCAAAGAACAAATAATATTTAAAATTTATATTTAATTTTTATGATTTTGAATAAATAACGATATCCTCCAAGTCATTTAATTCATCGTCTTCTTCAATGCCTGCTCTGTTGGTAATATGTATATAAAATTAAGAGAGAAGAGTAATAAGTCAGAAATATAAAATTATCGTATTTTAGGCATACGATAATGAAGTGCTATCGTACATCGTATGTATAAGTAAAATTATCGTACGTGTACTAAAATTATCGTACGGTTACCAACACTGGATGGCGCGGGCAGTATTGTTGGACGGGCCGGATTTCAGATGCATGATGCGCGTCCAATGTAGTTTCAGTAACATACCGATCACTAGTAAATAGGAGATCATTAGTCGCCTATGTAAAATTTTTTCAAAAATGTTGAACGCGCATGCGTCTGAAATCCGGCCCGTCTAACAACACTGGGCGCGGGCCGGCCGAGCGGCGCACGGAAGGACTAAGTTCACGGAGTGGCACGCAAGGCGGAAGCGCCAGACATACGTTTTGATTTTTGGCGGTACTTTAAACACTGTTGTGAAAGCGTGCGCAGGCGCACTACTACAAGTTATATCCATCCGGACGAGACTTAAGGGAGCATAATTATCTTTCAGCTTTTATCTAATCAGTCTCAATATTGTGGTGAAAGTTTCTTTACCCTGCGAAATTATAATTAGTTTTAATGCTTTGGTGGATGAAGGGTTTTTTGCTGATTTTATAAGTTGTTTCGGCAAATTGTCTTATCGATGAAATTTAACAAATTATTGATCCATGAAATTTATTGCAGGAACGGCTACGCGGAGGCTGTGTCCGATCGATTGTGCTCGCAATACAAGTTCCGACCCAGTGACAAATATGTGCCCATGATGCCTCTGAGTATGAACAAATGAATTTGGAAGCTCGGAGAAATAGGCAGCCTTCGCTCGCGGAAAGAGAAAGGATTGATGGCCAGTATGCGTCATACTACAGATTAGGGCTGCCGCAGACAAAATTTCTGTAACAGTAACCTTAAGGGGATGCTGGAGTGTCCCGTTTTATTATTAATTTTTAAAGGCTCTTTTCTTTTAATTGTGTTTATGGATTGAAAAGTCCTTCTCCACAATTAAAGTATCGACAACAACACAGGCTGCCAGCTACAATTTAATACGAAAAATGAAAGAAAATTAAAAATTGTAGTTTTGTCACCTGCTTCTGCAGTCAACTCGTCACAATATGTGCTGCATATAAGAGTTTCAAATTTTACCCGATTAAAATAAGTAGCAAGCAGCCTACAGAAAACCTCGAAGAACAATTCTATGCTTTTAGAAACGAGGTAGGGGCTTCAGTATAAGAGAAAAGAGTCGCCGAAAATTTCGTTTGTATATTACGAGTGAAATTGACGTGAAGCCATGAAACCAAGCAGTATTTTAGTTGATCTCTTTCTAAGAGATGGCGTTGCAATATGTTAGATAAGGACAGATGAATGCGTTTGAACGAGACACAACGATATATAATAAGTATAAGAAATAAATGAAAGATGTCACTATTATCGAATTTGGAATTTAAAAAAGTCTGTACTATCGACCTTGATTAAGTTCGACCGTCACTCCAGCATCCCCTTAAGACGTGAACTTAAGCCGATGAGCCAATCAGGATATTGTTTTAGATCTACGTACTGTAACGGAAATAGAAATAGCAGTAAACTTATCCATAAGGCGAGTTTCAACCGGTTGAAATTCGCCTTATTGCGAGGTTATGAATAAGTTTACTATTATTTCCATTTCCGTTAGATTACGTAATCTAAAGCAGTATCCTGATTGATTCATCAGCTTAAGTTTACGTCTTACGCATACTGCTACGGAATTTTGTGTGCGGCAGTCCTTATCACGGTCGAGAAGTAACGCGTTACTTATAACGTCGTTATGTTTATCGATACTTTTTTCGATAACAATCGTTACTTTCTTCTGTCTGTTCGATATTAATGATATAAAATAAATCAATTGTTACTTTTTATCGTTACTTTAATTCCCTATTCTCTTTATATCTATTTAATCACATTATTTTTTATTGAATAAAAATATTTTATTTAAATAAAAATTTTTTAATATCAAAAAATATTTTATACTTTATATCTTAGGCTGCATTCTGATCAGTCATTGCCAATATTGAAAAATTTTAGTAATGTAAACTATAAATTAGTACTGGCAGTAAATATATTGAATATATTGAAATGTATTCTTAATAATGGCATTAATGTCATTTAATGTTTGATGAAAACAATGTTTAATAAAATTTTTTAATAAAATTTGTATTTGTAAATTACGATAATAATGAAGATACATACATTAAAAAATAAAAATATTAATATAACAAATTATTGAAAATTTATTTGATAAGTTGAATATAAAGAAAAATTTATTATATAGAAACTAACTTATGAGTTTTATAATTTAATATTAATTGTTATTTTACATTTAATACCGATTATTAAACAACACGTAGTTTTAAAATCTACAATCCTACTTTAACATTGCAAAGAAAGTAACGAAAAAAGTAACGAATCGTTATTTTTTACAAAAACAATTAATAGTATCACATTATATTTTTATGAAGTAATGTTTCCAACCTTGCACCGACCATATCGTTTATGTCATATCAAATTATCGTCTTTATTGCGTCAACGTGCAAGTTATCAATACATACCGTTTTTAAAAATTAATTAGTTACATTAGATTTTTCGCAACAGCGCAACTGCAAATTCGGAGTTTATGGACGGTGAAATTCCTTATAGATGTATATATATTTACAGTACCCTCCATAAGTTTGGAAACACACAAGGAAAATATCTAATAAAATCGATATATTTTGATTTGCAAATAATTTAATTAAAAATTAATTATTTAATTTAAAAAAAAAACTAAATAAAAGTACATACATACATACGTTATCTATAATAACATGCCATTAAAATATGGAATTCTAATTAAAACGCGATTTATACGAAATCTGATTCTTCGGGGCCATTTTACAATTTTTACAGAGTCTGAAATCAACTTGTGACTCAAATAATTTACCACTTTTATAGAAATCGTTAAACTACAATTAAACGACCTGTGATGTATCTACAACGCACGTAGGTACGACGTTACAAAACAAGTGACAATATAATATAAACAATAAACCAAAGTGCGAAATTCAACCTTGAGCGCTCCGATGCTGTGAAATGATTGTCCGACATATTTTCGGCATGTATATTAGGCGTCATTGATACCTTCCGGCTTGAAATTTATAGTTTCCTTGTACTATGATCGTATACATCATATCTATGTATATATTGCTAAAAAAAAAAGAAATTTACTTCCATTATATGTAACGGAGAAAATTATAAATTTCAAACCGGAAGACATCAATGACGCCTACTGTACAAGCTTATAGGTGCTTTCTAAATAAAAATATTTATCATCGTTTAAACGTTTCATAACGTATTTAAATCAAAAACATGATGTATAGATTGCTGTCATGTAATGGTTTTCCTGTAAAATATAGGGTGTTCCCAAACTTATGGAGGGTACTGTATATTTTATCTCTACGAGTATAGGTCGATCTATTAAGTTCAGTTGTATATAGAAAGAATTTTAAAGAATATTTGTTAATTGAATCTTTTTTATAGAATAGAATTTTTCTCTTTAAACTTGGTTGTAGTTACGGTTAGTTCTAGTAATTGTATAATAGTACCAGAAAGTTTTTTGCGAATTATGGCCGTGTTTTCATCCATTACTAATGCCAACGTTTCGTAAATCTTCCTGTTCACTTCATCAGATGCTCCTTATCAGTATTAATTAATATCAGTATCAATCAGTATCAGTGCATTTCTCGCTCTATGATGAAGTGAACGGCAAGGTTTACGAAACGTTGGTATATATTAGTATAATGGATGAAAATACGGCGATACCCGCAAACCTTCTGATATCTTAGAAGATAATACCCTGAAAGTCTAAGAAGGATTGTACAGGGTGTCCCAGAATGACCACCAAATATTTTATGTGATGGTAGAGCGGACGAAACTGAGTAAAAAAATTCTACTATTTTACCATTTTCACAAGAGTTAACAAGTTATTAATTAATAAAAATCACCGAATATTGGTTTTCAATATTTTTTTATTCAAGTATTATCAATTTCACAGAAAAACAGCGAGAAACAAGAATCGTTAATTTTCTTCTCATACAGTTCTGAGAAGTTTTTCAGAATTTTTTAGTACCGCATTTTCTCATATTGGTAAAAATAATTGTCAATAAGATAATGCAGTACTAAAAAGTTAACAAAAAATTCTGAAAAAATTTTTAGAGTTCTATGAAAAGAAAACTAACAATTTTTGTATCTTGCTGTTTTTTTGTACAGTTGATAGTACTTAAGTAAAAAATTATATTGAAGACCAATATTCGACGACTTTTAGTAATTAATGTCTTGTTAACTATTGCGAAAATTGCAAAATCGTAGAGGACTTTTCGACTCAGTTTAGTCCACTCTATCAGCGCACGAAATATTTAGCGGTTAATCTGGGACACCCTGTATGATAATATTATGGAAACAGGATTGCTCGTTATGATCCCTAATAGTACATTTTATATCCGAGATACATCCTGAAGATGTCTTTAGGATGTATAAAGGACATACAAACGTTCTCTGGACGTCTTAAGGACCTCCCCTGGAGGTCTGTGCTGTTAGGGAAGGCATAATGGCAACTATACTATGTTTACATGGCTCGATTTACGTCGAAATTATAATATCGATGTTATGAAGCTAGCCAATCATAATAGTCTATTACGAAAATAAAATATGTCTCTGATTAAGTATAATTATTCCTCTGAAGAATGGAATGACTGGACAGTTTCATAACGATGTTATAACTTTGGTGCATGTAAATCGAGCTGTGTAAACGCTTAGGGAGCGTTTATATTGGCCGTAACCTGTAAAAATTGACTAATCACAGTCAAGTATTCCCCTCTCATTCGATGATAAGAAGGACGATAGGTCAATTTTTACAGATTACGTCAATTACGGCATACGGCTTACGCGGTTACAGCCAATATATAAACGCTCCCTTAGTCTATTCTCCATTAGGCACAAGCTGATCGCAAGTTTGTTGTGACAGACAATCTGAAGCTTGCATTTTGAGATCAATGCTTCAAATTGGTTGTTGTAACAAACTTGCGATTGGCTTGCGTCTAATGTAAAATGGATGACACGTGTTAATCTTGTCCTCTCGCTATATTATGTTATCGAGAGCAATAATATTAAGTTATCGAGTGCAATATTCGAATATGTGTTAGTAAAATTGGCTGCGTTCAGCACAGAAAATTAATCAGTTACCGCTTAGTGATTCTTTAATATGACTGGTTCTTACCCTTAGTTTTTCGCTAAATCTAAGTGTAAGAACTAATCATATTAAAGAATCACTAAGCGCTAACTGATTAGTTTTTTCTGCTGAACGCAATCATTGTATTGTATTCTGCGTAGCACATCTGTCGTGAGTGTGTCGTAATTTATATAAATATTTAATTTTTAGTCAGCTTTACATATATTATAGTCTATAGTCTATTACGAAAATAAAATATGTCTCTGATTAAATATAGGATGATGTAAATATTTTTATCTCTATGTATTAGTTATTTTAAAATATTATTATGTGCTCAAAGGCAGATATAATAAATTTGTAGCAGAAATAAAATCGTTTTTTTCTTATATGTATAGCAAACTCAGTCACACTTGCATTATACTATTATAGATTAGTCCAAAAACTGCTATACACGAAATGAGCAAAGTTAAATAAATAAATATGAAAGTATATTTGAAACGATTAAATGTATATTTTCAATAATGATAT